CCGGTTTTGCGAAAAAGGTTCCCTTGGTTAGTTCTTCCTGGGCTATACACCAACTCCAGACCTTTTTTCCCTCTGTGCAAAAGGGGGCCCATTAAGACAGATATTGGGGGGCGACCCGCGTTAGTAATAACGCTTTCAGGTCTAAAACGGGGTGCGAAAAATTTTTTCCTCCTTTTCTTGGCAAGGGGAAAACAAAGATGCCACCCAACCCCGCCTTCCCCCGGGATATTTGTAAACGTTTCCCATATGCCTTTAAACAAAAGTAAGAATTTGGGGCGTCGCTTCTTTAGTTTTGTTAAAATTTTCATTTCGGGGTCCGGTCCCCCTTGGCCCAGAAACGCGGCGAGGTATGTGAGACAAAAGCTTTCAGGAACTGTTGGTAAGGAAACCAAGTGCTTATAAATCAGGGCTTTGTAAGGTGGGGGCTTGAAGCCTTTCCGCCCCAAGCATTTAAAAATCCCAGGGTCCTTGGCTTTGACCCAAATTCCTCCTGGTGGTGTGAAGTTAGTTTAGTTTGGCCCTTCGGGGATGACGCACGGTGAAAGAAACCTGTGTTGTCGGTTACCACAGGGCAAAAATTAGATTACCCGTCCTCCCGGGTACTTGGTACTTAGGTTGGCTTCCGCACAGAACCGGGGAAAAAAGAGCAGAAAACAAAAGCAGGGCGCTGGCATTTCCTGTGCCGGGATGGGGCTGGAGGTGTTAAAAAAGGCTATTTAAGGACAACTGGCGTACGGGAAAACACCATGCCGGTCGAACTGTGGGCCTGTAGGGGAAGAACTGGTTTTGGTTTTTATTGCAGCATTTTGTGGTTTGTCTTGGTTGGTTTGTTTCTTGTTGAACAGAAGGTCTCTCGGTTTGTGTGCCGAGGCTAATGATGCCGGTGGCGTCAGGGGCCGCCCTCGCTCGGAGAGCAACCCCTTCTCAAACTGTTGCTGGGGTGCTCAAGCGGATTTTCCGCGCTCTGCGCCGGCAGCGGGGGCCCTCCCGAGGTAGTTTCGCCCTGACACCAGCATTGCGCCACCCCGCACCGGCCCAGGGGGGCCTAATTTTTTTGAATGTATATATATAGGTTGGGGCCCCAAAGATTAGAGTTTCCGTCGTTTCAAGTTCTTAGTGAGAGAGACAGGGGTCTCGGCTCTTCTTGGCCTTCAGGGCGGGGTCGGAAATACCTCCTGGGAACCTGCGAGCAAAATCTCGTGCCCGCGCTTCGGCTTCCCCAGGGACGGCTTGAGAGGGACCAGGCTGGTGGGCAAGGCCAGCTCCCGCGTCGCGGCCCCCGCTCCCGCCCCTCTTCTATTGGCCTTGTATCGTTTCACCAAGGTTAGGAGTTTCCGATACCAGTCCAGCTTGGAAGTTAAAAGGCATTACTTGGTGTCCTTGTTGCCAGAGGAAGCGGAGGAGGGAAAGAGAAGAAGGGAGGGAGAGGAAGAAAGGAGATGAATTTAGAGAGAGGCGACGAGAGCTTGGGATTGCCAGAGCGAGAAAGAAATTGGTTTAAAAAGCCCAGATCTTAGCGAGGAGGGAGAGAGGAAAAGGTGTCTCAGACTAGCGCGGTTTGAAAGGAGGTGTTCACTTAACAAAAGAGTAAGTCTGGGGGTTTTAATTCCTTGTCTTTGGGCTCGAGCAGTGAGGAAGGTCTTGCTCACCATTGAAAGGCAGGTGGAGAAGGCTGCTTGGGTTGGGGGACAGGAGCAAGCCGTAGAAACCAGAGGAAGCTGCCATTGTAGGCAGAGGGCTCTGGCCGAGCCAAGCTGAAGATTCTTCTTCACTAATTGGTGGCAACTCGACAGCCCTTCTCTCCTGGCCAATCGATGATTCATCGTAAATGCTGGAAATGGCACCGCTTGCACGAGAAATGCTACTCCTGTAACCTCACTCCCCTGTTGCAGAACGAGCAGGGGCTCCCACTCCGGGTAGTCCCAGGCTTCCTGTATCCGAGCCCGTCTTTGCAACTCCGTCTCCCAGCGCCGAGCGCTTTCCTTCCCGTTCCTGTCTGTAGCCTTCCATCGTCCACTTTGAGCTTCACCCTCTGCCTTTATCCCTCTCCTTGTTCAGCACTTCCCGAATTGTCCACTCTCAAGTCTTTACCCGAGCCTTGTCTAAATCTCACGTGCATTTTGGCCTTGTCTCTTTACTGTGACTGTGACTTAATCGGGGGGACACAAGGTAGCAGGGCTCAGCAAGCACCCTTCATTTCATTCATTCGTTCGCTCATTTTCCTTTGCTCCTGGTGAGCCCCTAGCACGGTGCTGGGCACAGGTGAGCAGAAAGACCCCCGGATTCCCGAGGGTGGGCGTGGACCCTGTGCAGTGTGGACACGAGGATCTATCGACTCTTCTGCTTTAAAACGATTTCCAACAGCCATTGATTTTTCTCTTCTTTTTTTCTCTCTCTCTCTTTTTGTTTTCTCTGTCTCCCTCTTAGTCCTAACGTTGTGGGACAGCTGGCTAAACAGATGATTGGATATAATCTAGCAACCAAACAAACTCCGAAAGAAGGTGTGAAGGTTCACAAGGTAATGTAGATGCTTTTCAGTCATTTTGTATGTGTTAAAAAAAAAAAAAAAGGAAAGAAAAGAAAACCATCCTTCAGTTTTGACAGACTCCAGTGATCTTCGGCGGTGTGCCATGTTTTTGTTTTTTGAGGCCTCATATAATCTGTTTAACTTAAGTGGTATGTCTTTGAGGAGAAATAAAGTTTCCGTAACAGGAATATTATTTATCATCATTGGTGTTTAGTGCAAGTGGGAGGGGGGTGAATGACCGAAGCAGTGGCTTTCCCTTTCAGAATAGAGATTCATTCCGTTTTGTCCCGACCCGCGGGACCTTCTGTTACTCCTGGGGTCAAGGGGGGGACCGTGCCTGAAAGAGATGGGCGAGAGAAAGGAACGAGACCAAGCAAAGGGTTGTCAAGGTCTGCTTTACTTGGATTCTTAGTAGGTTTTATAAGCATGCAGAAACAAGGAAGTAGAAACAGAAAAATAGAGTGGGGTGACGATGAGGCTGGGGTCTGGGTTAATCAGCCCCAATCAGCGTCTTATCGGTATCCTGTTTGTGACTGGTTACTCATCCCCAACCTGGCAGGTGGTCGGGAACAATTGCAGTCAGCACTCCCTGGAGCATCCCGTGGTCAGCACGTCATGGAATGCATTCTTCTCGGAGCTATAGCTGGAATTTTCCAGGGCGAAGCCCGTGCGTAGGACGAGTCATAGGGGAGTTGAGGGTCTTTGGGGGTCCTTGCCTCTAACACCGTTTAAAGCTGAAAGGGCTTGTGGCGACAGCCTTACACTCAGGGAGGGACGATCCCTGATCCCACACCTCTCCCCCTACTCCCAGGCCTGTCTATCAGAATTAGCTGTTGTGGTGGTTTTTCTAAGTGCCTCTATTCCTTATTTTGAAATTACTGTCGTTTTGAGCCACGCTTCTTGTTGGGAGGTGTCTTGCATTAGTGCGGTCAGCTGGGGCACTCAAGTATGGATAGCACACGTGCTCACATGCACACACACACGCACACACACACACCAACAAGATGACAAGCGCGTGGAAGTTGGGTGCCTCATGGGTCGCGAAATCGTGAGTCTTCAGTGTCGAGCTGAGATCAGACACCACTCTACCCCTCTGCCAGTCTGTCCTTTTGCTATTAGCCCCCTAATGTATCGAGGTGCACCAAAACCCCTGGGGGCTCGCTCTTGCGCGCGCGTGCAACTAAAGAGGAGAGGGACCCTGGTTCACGTTTGAAGAAGGCAGTACAGACGTGAGTCGAAGAGGGGACCCGTCTGGGTGTGTGGGCCCTGATGTTGACTGGCACAGATCACGGTACCAGCCGGGAAGTATCAAATGGGTCAGAAGGCGCCTGCTCCTGGCAGGTGAATTAGGGGCCGTATTTGGGGAGGCACTAGACTGCTCCGTGGGCATAGCTCCAACACATGATGGTTCTTGCCGCCTACCAGGTGGACCATGCTGGGGGACATTAGGCAGTATATTCTTTGGGACCTATTTCAGAGAGGTTTTGATTGAAAAATTTCTTGCCAATGACCTAAGAAACCATTAGCTAGTTCTGCATGTCTCATTAAGAGAGGTCTGTTGCGTAGCCCAGATAGGACGCCCTGAGCTGGGAGGGAGATTGAAATATCTGAATGCCCGCTCATTGGCTCCATCAGGCTTAAGTCAAAGCTTTCTAAATTCAATGGTAGCAAACAGGTTAATGTTCCGTTGGGCCTGCTGCCTCTGCGAGGCAAAGAAACTGCTAAACTCAGAAGTGTTCTTTTGGTTAATGTTGTTGCCCTGTTCGGCATTACGAACTACTTTTTACTTCCCTTTAAATCTGGCTGTGGGGCCTTGCCCTGTGTTGTTAATTTACTCAAAAGTTTGTCGCACATAGGGGACAAGATTACTATTTTTGCTTACAGGACTTATTGTTTTATGTGGGGACATATCTGATATTCATGGTCTTGCAGGACCGGTGCATTATTGTTTTTTTTTTTTAGGCTTTTGAAATATTGGACACCTTTTCCATGTCAGTACATACGGTTTCATCTCTTCTCTTTTGATGGTGGCATAATGTTCCAGGGAACGAGTATATCATGATTTGTATTTAACCAATCCCCCATTTAATGGACATTGGTCTTGTGTTTTCAGGACAGCGTGGCAGTGTGTATTCTGAATACTCTGATGCATGAGAAAGGCTTCGGGTTCACAATGGCTGTGTCTTTCCTTTCAAGATGGGCAAACAGAGAGTGTTTCATAGGGTCTCAGCAAAAAATAACAGCTTGATCCAGGTTTTCT